AGTAGCTGCGACTACAGGCGCCCGCCACCACGCCCAGCTAATTTTTTGTATTTTTTTAGTAGAGACAGGGTTTCACCGTGTTAGCCAGGATGGTCTCAATCTCCTGACCTCGTGATCCGCCCCCCTCGGCCTCCCAAAGTACTGGGATTACAGGAGTGAGCCACTGCGCCCGGCCGTATTAACAGATTCTTGAATATTTTTTAAAAATAGGTGCCTCTTTGATAGAGAACGGCAGCCTGTTGCACACGGTAACACAGCATGTTTGATTTGTTGTATAGGAACATAGATGCCAATGTAACTGTATCTCTTTGGGAATAAAACCGTCATTTGCACATTCATCAAAGCTAGGAAGTTGGGGGAAATCATTGACTCCTCCTTTAGTCCTTTACCTAACTGGATGTATCTCTGAAGTCTCTCAAATCCATCCCTTCTTTATCTGTTGCCACATGCTCCCCAGCCAGGACCCACCGGCTGCAGGTACTGGTTGATGGTTTCCTTTACTTTGCCCTTTCCAAGGGAAACATAGCAAAGAGGGCATAGACTTTAAAGACAATAAGACTTCAGCCGAAATCCTGGCATTTTTACTAATTCTGGGACGATGACAAGTTATCATCCTTCTGTGACTTCTCCTATCGACTTCTGTGACTCTCCATCTCTAAACAGGGTTCGCCAAAGTTTTGAGAAAAAAAGACCATGAATACACAGTAAATGCATTTGCTTAGTAAATGATAGTTCTGGTATTTTATTGAAGAAGAGTTGAGCATCTGCCTCTGTTACTAAAACTTGATTGACTCTGTTTCCTCTAGGGAAAGTTCCAGATGCTTTTAGCACATCATCTGGTCTGTTTACCTGTTAACTTGGCGTCACCAGTCTAAAAGTTTATTTCACTTGTACTGAATGTACCGTGGCCCCCGCCGAAGTACTCATAACTTAAATTTACCATTTAACCATTTTAAAGTACACAATTAAGTACATTCACAATATTGCACAACCATCACCATTATCCAGAATTTTTTTGTCACCCCAAATGGAAACGTCGTAAGCATTAAGCAGTCACTCCCCGTTCCTGCCTCCCCGAGCCGATCAACCGCTAATCTACTTTCGGTCTGTATGGATTTGCTGATTGTGGTGATTTCAGGATGTGACTTTTATGTGTCTTTTACTTACATTGTGTTTTCAGGGCTCATCTGTGTTGGAGCGTGTATCAGTGTGTCATTCCTTTTCATGGCTAATGATATTCCATCGTATGGAGTATTTTGTTCATCCGTTCGTCAGTTGATGGACCACTTCGGTTGTTTCCTCTTTTTGACTATTGTGCTGCTGCTGTGAACATTCATGCACATGTTTTGTTTTCTTTTTGGCATATACCTAAGAGTGGAATTGCTGAGTCATATGATAATTCTGTGTTTAACTTCTTGAAGAAATGCCAAAGCAGCTAGCTGCATCATTTTACATTTTCACCAGCAATGTATGAGGGTTACAATGTCTTCACTTCCTTGTCCACACTTGTTTTTTCCATTCTTTTTATTATGGCCATCCTGCGGGGTGCGGCGTGTTATCTTCCTGTGGCACCCCATGATCTTTCTTGTCCCAAAGATTTTCTTCATTATGTTCCTTTTGCCAAGAACACCTCTCCTTTTTACAGGTGTAGTGAACACCTTTATTTAGGAAATCAGCTTTGAGTTACATACTTTACTCCTTAATCTTGAATAGTTCTTCATATTGCTTTTCAAGAGTTTATGGAATTGGAAAGTTTGACTGTTCAGAAGTGACTTCAGAGATTCATGACCTGTAACGATTTTGAATTTTTAGAAGAGTTTCGAATTCCAGGAGTAGATGGTGCCCGCTGTGGACCAGACTGGTGGGTGTGTGGGGCATGCAGCAGCCACAAGAAAGTCTTCCTGGGGCCAGAGCCAGGGAGCATCCCCTGGTGAGCCAGGCCTGGGGGTGCCGCTCAGAAGGTGCTCACTTGGAGTCTGGTTATGTGGTCCCGTTGAGGGCTGAAGGCTCTGCAGCATGAGATGTTAAGAATTGGCCAGGTGGCTGGGCTGCTAGGGGTCCTGCGTCCACTGTGGTGCCAGTAGCACTTTTAGTGCTTGCTGGTACTGTCTGTTGCCATCCCTGCTTTTCCTCTTCACACCCCCAGCCTTCTCACAATTTAGTCATTGAGGCAGGGGCATTGATAGGACCACCCTTGGGACACATTCATGCCTACCAAGCAAGCTGGGGCCCTCCTTGGACTCAAGGCCCTGTGGCACTGAGCCCTCCTCTAGTCAGGTCACACCTGGGACAGTGGGTGCAGCCCAGGTGGGTGTGGCCAAGTGGAGTTGAGGATGTGGTGACATCACCCTGCATATGTGCAGGGACCACCCGGGGAGGTCACAGGCAAAAGAGGGTTACCAGTGAGTGCCCCCAGCAGGGGTCTCCACCTCTCCTTGGAGGGACCCGGTGTCTGGACTCCAGGGTTTGATCCCTTCGTGACCACTGTGTCCCCAGTGTGTTCAGTCATTGAAGTATGCTTCCATTCCACAGTGCTTGCTCCAAGTCTGGGACTCTCAGTCCCCCATAGGTTCCCTCTGCAGAGAGCCCTGGAGGCCTTGGCGACATCAGAACATCGTGCTCAAGTGTGACCGGTCACCAGAGTACTGATGTTAAACAGAACAAGGCCTCTTAGGCTCCTGGGGCTGGGCCCAGTGCAAGGCCCTGGGTGGTGCGAGTGATTGCACAGTATGGGGCCCAGCATGCCTGGAACCATAAGCAGGGGTGGCTGTGGGGAACTCTTAGCTTGAACCTCCTGTTTGTGTGGAGCCAAAGAGAGCACGGCTCGGCCAGCAGGCTCCAGAACCGCTTTCTAGCCAGAAGCGCCTTAGTCGAGCAAGGTTGGAGTCTGTTGGGGCTCCTGTGGCTAGGCATGCCCACATGGCGCAGGGAGGGCCACTTTGGAAGGCATGTCCTCTTTGGGGCTAAACTGACTAGTACTGGTTTTCTTGGGGGACCTGCAGACCAAGACCTGGGTGGGATCGGTCATTTTACCTTCCAGCCCAGGGCCAGCTACTGATGGGAGGGCAAGCAGGGAAGACCCTGTGTGCCTGCCCGGCCAAGGCAGTCGCCTCCCTCGTCCTCGAGGGTGCTGTTCCGTTGCATCTGGTCAGGTGGTCTCGAGGGAGCCAGATGAGGCCCCTTTGGAGCTGGGCACCAGTGAGTTCTTGCAGGGAGTGGGCAGGGGACACAGGAAAGCCTCCTGCAGAAGATGGGCAGATGTCAGTGTTGTCTTCTTGGGGCCACCTTCAGCTTGATGATGATGATTGGCAAATGCAATGTTGTAAATTGCAAAATACTGATCTCTAGCATGGTCATTTTAAAGAGGAAACCTAACCCTTTCTCCTAAACAGTTGAGGATCTTAGTATCCATCTGTCTGTCTTTTAGATGAAATTCCTAAACCTGTGGCCAGGGCTATGAAGAGAAACTTAGTTTTCATAATACTTGGGCACAAATCATCTTGCACCTATTGTGACTTTGAAAATGTGAGGAGCTGGGATATGACGTGACCTTGAGCAGCAGCCTGTGATCTTACATGGACTGGGGCAGGAGGGCTGCCTCTGAATGGCTGTATTTCCCTATGAAGGCATAAAACCTGGAAGTCTTCAGATGGCTTCAGCTGAAGAAAAAGTTAAGCTCCTGCTCACACCTCCAACCCAAATCCCATGGGACTCTCCCTTCTGCTCTGTGCCAGTGCTGCTCATTCTCACTGACAACTGTGGTCCCAGCGACACCAGCCCACCCACTGCACTCACAAGCAGTTCAGGATTTGGGCCCCCATGCCACCAACAACATCTACTCAGTGATGATGAAATTCAGGATTTCTTTTTTTTTGGGCAGTCTTTTTGTCCTTAGAATAAGGACAGTCAAATCCCACAAACCACTGTTTTCAAAGGTTACTCATATTCTTTTTTCTGATATCCACTTAGGTATGTATTTTCTATTTGTTTCAATTTTAAGGTTTGTCTTTCTATTTTATTTCTTGAACGGGGTTGTAAGTAACTGTTCTATTTAAAGGTGTGCTCAGAAACTTTACTTCTATCTCTCTCTCACCTCATTCTACCCCCTCTCTAGAAAGATAATCATTTTCATTAGATTCTGCCTTCTCCATCCTGTATTTCCTTTTGGGATGTACATGTGACACAGAGACATAAACACATATTTTTCTTGTTTCCCTTCATTCTTATACAAAAGGCAGCATTCTGTACATACTCTTCTACAACTTGCTTTTTTCACTTAACTGTATCTTCCTGGAAATTATTCCATGAAAATTCATAGAGATCTTCCTCATTTTCAAAAAATGGTTGCATAGTGTGCCTCAAAATAGATGTTTCACAGAGTATTCAGCCAGTCTGTATGGATGGATACTTAGTTTGTGTCCAATATTTTGTGATTACATGTAGCCGAGTATAAATATCTTCTGTTTCTAGTTGTAAGTCCCTGGAAGTGTGATTACTGTTTCAAAACGTAAATGCATATGTAGTTGTATGGAATAGTCAGGTGGGAGATTCCTTATCATTTAAGTTAGTCTTGAGGAAGGTGGTGTCAGCCTCCCAGTCATACCCTGAGTTGAACAATGGGGTAGGAGGAGTTGGGCTCCAGCGTGTTGAACTGGTGGCATGTATCTCCCCTTCTTCTGGGTATAGACTCCTGGGCACAGGATTACTGGCTGAGAGAGTAGGCATTTGCTTGCTTTAATAGAATACCAATTTTCTTCTAAAAATTTACCCCAACTTACTCCACCACCAATGTGTGAGCCTTCTGGTTGCCTCAGGCTCCTGGCAACACTTGGCGTCATCAGCCTTCCTAGTTGTAAGTACTCTGGTGGGTGTAGAGGAAGCTCATCTGCTTGTGCTTTTTGGCCATTTGCACATCCATGTTATGACATCCCCGGTCAGTCTTGTGTTACCATAAAATGTAAATATTTAAATTTCTCATAGTTAAATTATACTGTATCTAAAGCATTGTGCTTGCCTTTTTGTTTAGTTAGAATTTTTGTGTCTTTTTTTTTTTTTATGAGACAGAGTCTCACTCTGTGGCCCAGACTGGAATGCAGTGGCGTAATCTTGGCTCACTGCAAGCTCTACCTCCTGGGTTCACGCCATTCTGCGTCAGCCTCCTGAGTAGCTGGGACTACAGGTCCAGCTAATTTTTTTGTATTTTTAGTAGAAACGGGGTTTCAGTGTGTTAGCCAGGAGGGTCTCGATCTCTTGACCTCGTGATCCGCCCGCCTCGGCCTCCCAAAGTGCTGGGATTACAGGCGTGAGTCACCGCGCCCTGCCATTTTTTTGTAAATATAATTTAAAAGCATATTTGGTTTTCCAATTATAAAATATCTGTTGTGGCAGGAGCTAGATAGGGCAAAAGGCTCCCGGGTCTCCCAGTCTCCACCTCATGGTCCGCGTAGTCAGCTGGTGTGGTGTGATCCAGGCCCTGCATTCTTTCCTGTGTTTACATGTTGTACATAATTTTTCTCTTCTTTTTTCTCCCAAATCAAGTTATACAGTTTTCCTGCAGTTAACTATTTTTTTTCATTTATTCATCATATTGTGGACATTTTCTCATGTTACTACGTATAGATCTATTTTATTCGTTATAACAGCAGCCAAGTATCACATTATATGAATGTGTCATCTATTTAGCTATTTCCATTTTCCTTTTATTTTATATTAAGGTTGAGTGGAAGCTTTTTGAATTTTGGATATATGTGGTTTTTAACCTGATTTCTTTTTCATAAGCTGTATATTTGGATTTTCAAACATATATCAGTGTGATCAAGTAAAACTAGAATAATTCACCTTCATGAAGAGCTGCCTGATAAACCACTGACTTATTTTTATTAGCTTGACCTGTTTTTTTTTGCTTCAGGAACATCTGTTTTTATTTTTTTGTGTCTGTTTGTTTTAAAGAGACAAGTCTTGCTGTGTTGTCCAGGATGGTCTCGAACTCCTGGCCTCAAGCAATCCTTCCTCAGCCTCACAAAGTGCTGGGATTACAGGCCTGAGCCAGCCAGGAACATCCTATTTTGAAACGAAATTATTGTTTATCCACTGCAGGGAGTAGTGACCCCCTGTTACATTTTGATTATTCTGTCTCCTTTCAAACTAGGGGAAAATGAATTTTCCCCTGTGTGGCATTCAATGTATTGTTGTAGTTTTATTGGAACAGAATATTGTATTTTCTACTTAGGTTTCCCTTTCAAATGTTTCAGGTGTACGAAGCCATCGACACCAGAGATGGAGCATCTTGTGCAGAGTTGGTGTCTTTTAAACATCCTCATGTTGCAAACCCACGACTTCAAGTAGGTAAAAGAACTGTGCACACAGGTGTCTGCAGAGAATTACAGGATAATCACTTTCCTAAGAGAAACGTAGAGTTTGAGTAAGAAGAAAACTAGTATTGTCACTCTTATTTGAAAATTGTAAAGTTTCTTTATGATTTATGTAATTTCAATTCATTTGTGGAGCACTGACTATGTGGGTACGCTGTAGTGATATGGACCTCCTGCCCCTGTGTTTGATTCCTACACAGCTCTCTGAGGTTTGGAGAAGTGAGATGGTGGAGAGACGGCGGAGCTTAGACTCTGTCCAGGCCTGTGCGTTCCCAAAGCCCCATAGACGTCATGTACCACAGGTGTCTCCCATTTAAGTAGAAAGTCCGGCAAGCCAAGGCCCAGCCTGGAGTTGTACATGGAGTTTCCATGTCATCTGTGGCGTAGATGATGTTGAGGTGGTATTTTCTATAGAAAATCTTGTGGACATTTGGTAAAGCCCTGTTTCCTTATTGACACCCATTATCATATTGGGGTGTGTTTCTACTGGGAGCAGCATTTTTCTTTTGGAAGAAAAATGGGCTTATCTGTTGGTGATTATGTTTGGTGGTGTATGGATTTGCAACTGAGACCAGGTAAATCGGTCTCTGAAGTAGCAGCAGGCTTGTTTTTGTTTTTCTAATCAATACTATGTGATTCTATGTGTAGACAGTGTTGAAAACCATTGCTCTAAGTAGGAGTTAGTGCCTGAGACTTGATGAGGCTCAGGCTCGCCTTGGCCAGAACACCCCATGGCTGGTGCTGTGTGCTTCATATTGTGTCACATGAGAGGACACACACTGCCCTGTTGGCAGTCTGAGATGGATCCCTTCATTGTAAAATTCCCCCCGTAAACTTTCTTCTGGTGGTTTCATTCCCCAGGGACTGTAGAATGGTGATTTTTCTGATACTGTCATTCTTCTGTCTCACCATATCAGCATGGGCTCATTGCTTTTGTGAAAACAAAACAAAACAAAAAAAATGTGCTGTAATCTATTGTGTATTAGTCCGGGTTCTCCTGAGAAACAGAGCCAATGGGATATATCGATATTTACAGAGGTTTAGTATGAGGAACTGGGTCCTGTGATTATAGAGGTCGAGAAGTCCCACACAAGGAGTGAATTCTTCCTTCCTCGACCTCTTGTTCTATTCAAGCCCTCATCAGATTGGTCACTGTCCGTCCACACTGAGGAGGGCCATCACCTTTCCTGAGTCTGCTAGTGCAACTGCCAGTGTCATCCAGAAACACCCTCACAGATGCTCCCAGAAATGACATTGTCTGGGGACTCCATGGCCAGCCAAGTTGACAGAATTAACCTTCACCTATTGAGATGTTCAGATTATCTAAAATTTGACTGTTAGGAGGAAAGGAAAACTTAGAAAGAAATGTCAGCTAGCGTAGCCCAGGAGATGAGACTGGTGCTCTCAGCAGGAAGCCGAAAAGGGTGAGTCCTAGCATAGCACCATCGGTAACTCGTTAGACCTCACTTACTAAACCTGTGATAGTTACTTAACAAGTATTTCTTGACTGACTGGTTATTAAATACTAAAATATATATGAAAGTGCCTAGAATATTTTCTGACCTGCAGAAGGCGAGACTAAATTATATTCATGGGCCTCTTGTTCCCCTGAAATATTGATAAATATTTGTTGAAGTAATGAACCATTTATTTATGAGACAGAGTCTCTCTCTGTCGCCCAGCGGGTAGTGCAGTGGCATGATCTTGGCTTACTGCAACCTTCAGCACCCAGGTTCAAGCGATTCTCATGCCCAGCCTCCTGAGTAGCTGGGATTAGCAGTGTGCACCACCACACCCGGCTAATTTTTGTAATGTTTTTGTAGAAACGGGCTTTCACCATGTTGGCCAGGCTGGTCTTGAACTTCTGGCCTCAAGTGATCTGCCCACCTCGCCCTCCCAAAGTGCTGGGATTACAGGCGTGAGCCACCGTGCTCACAGCCTCAACCTTTTATTTAGAGTTTTAAATATAAAGTGCTACTGTGAACTATAAAGCATAAATTTTCTTGAAACAGGTTTAAATATCTTTCTATATGTTGCATTCTTTCTGTGCCTATTTATTTTACTTTTGCCATTTTTCTTTTTTAAAATCAGATGGCCTCTCCAGAGGAGAAGTGTCAGCAAGTCTTGGAACCCCCTTATGATGAAATGTTTGCAGCTCATTTAAGGTAATCTGTTGGGGAGGAAGAAAAACACACACATCTGGAAATTGCTGAATTAACTGGGTATTTTATCTTGCATTATCTTATGCTTGAAGCAGTGAATAATTGACTTTGAAAAAGTAGGAAAATGCATTTGTAATTTCACTGTGATAAAGCCTGTGAAAATTTTATACATCAGTTGTGTAATACTATTTTTAACATCACATAGTATTTACCATAGTGCCTGGATAGTGGTCTTTTTAGTAGAGTGTGGAGCCTAACCATTCACTTACCCCTTTTGTGGAAATAGTATGTCTTTTTTGAAGCTCTTTACGTTACTGGGAAAGAACTAGAGTTGAGCAAAGCAAACAATGCTGCTTTTATGTACACTTCGTGTCTACTGTGTTACCTCTGAAGGATCTTTTCAGGCAGAAGATGGTGTCCTTATAGCCATGTGAGATTTGATTACTGTCTTTCAGAGCAGCCTAGGCTACAGGACCAGGGTGGGGTCTGTGAGCAGGAATGTCCTGTGAACCCGACAGGGTCTTTGGAAGAGTTGGGGCACTACCGTGTTCCTTGTAGTACAAAGCACCTGTGATGTCCTGGCTCTGTGCGGTGTGCGATCGGTTCCAGATTGGACGATGAACTAACACTGACATTACCCAGCTGGGAATCCAGTTTGAATGTCATTGTCAGCTCCTGCTAGCGTGGAAGGGTCATACTCTGTTATCAGCGTGTTACTCATAAACCTGCTGGAGCTGGGTCCTTCTGGGGCTTGAGAGTGTAGTCTCCGAGCTTACCGTGGGTCTCCTCTTACCCTCAGCTGTTTGTGTTCAGCCATTTGTGTGTTTCTTCCTTCACCCCTTTCATCCCAGGACCACTGGGACCTGCGCAGTGAAGTGAGCTGTGTGTGCTGCATAACTAGTGCTAGGTTTTATCGTGTGACAGCGTGTTTCTCTTTCTCCTCCAGGTGCACTTACGCAGTGGGGAATCATGACTTCATAGAGGCATACAAGTGCCAGACCGTGATCGTCCAATATCCTTTGTCATTCATGGCAGCTGTCCGGTGTAGAACGCGTGCAGTGGATTGCTTGGGACTTGAGACCCGGAACATTGGGCCAGTTGCTCATTTCTGCAGTTAGAAAGGAATGACAGTGTTTTGGAAGAGAAACTCTTTTCAGCTCTTTCACTCGGGTACTTAAATTTAGCATGGATCTGAAGACTCATGCAGCCACTTAGTAAGGAAGAACCCTGGTGAAAAAGAAGGATCTTACCCTGTTGAGAAGAAGGTTTAGGTAGTAAGTATAGTTACAGGGACTGGTTAAGTCCTGTGGTGAAATAGCAGAAATCCAGAATTCAGGCAGAGATGGACAAGAGTGGAGTCAGATACACGTCGGCATTGGATTGTGGCGGCTGAAGACCTTAAACCAGACCAATTCCTACTTCAGTCATGTAAAGGGTATCTTTAGTTAAGGCCTGAATCGGTGAGTGGTCTAAGGATTTGTATGTATCTCTAGATTTTGTCTTTTCGTTTTAACCGCCTTGTTTAAATATACACAGAAGAGAGTTGGCCTACTTGCTACCAGCCTCCTTAGAATTCAAGAATTCTAGAGTTGATAAAATCAGCCTTATGCTACAGATTCTAAAGGACTTAAATATAACTCATGATCATCTGGGCTCAGAGAAACCAAATAAAATATCTGAAATGGCTGATTTTAAAAAATCTTGTAAGTCTTTTTTACTTAGGAGACAGTATGTATGAAATACGTGTGTTTAGTATACTTGAGCCTAGTGAGATACAGATATTTGTAATGTGAGCTTATACCTTTTTTCCTTCAAGAACTTACTATTGTTGTAACATAAATCTGCTAAAGGGTGAGCTACATTCCTTAAAATTTAGATTCTTATTCTTTACTTTAATCGTACATAGCATTGTTTGACCTTTATATGCCGTATCTTCCTTAATACGGTACATCATTCTTGCGAGCATTCCAGGCCCACAAAGAAGAAAACTGGTAAGTGTGAACAGAAACAGCTGAATTAGTAAATGGCAATTTTTTTAAGTAGAATCTTTTTACAAATTTGCTTTAAATAAATGTATATTGTATTTTCCAAGTGGATATTTAATAATCATTGTGTTGACATATGGCAATATCCACACAGATTAATGGAATTACAAATCTAGTAAACTTAAATGGTAGATCAGCCACATTGTTTGCAGTGTGTCTGTGTAAATATAGTATTATTTTTATTTCACATGTCCATTTCCCCAGATATTTATTAAATACTGTTTTTTCCTTCAGTTGTCAATTTTGAACTTTTGGTTTTAAACTTTAGATAAAAGAGGTAGACCAACTACCGTTCATTTGGGGTGTTCTAATACATGATAATGGTGGTATTTTTAAATGCCTTGCCAAACTAATTCTTAATTTTATGATTTATTAACAAACTATAGATAAATACTGAATTTTGTTTATACTAAAGTAACCAAAGGCCTTTTGCAAACAAACCCACTCTTTTATCTTTTTTTTCTTTTCTTGAGACGGAGTCTTGCTCAGTTGCCCAGGCTGGAGTGCAGTGGCGTGATCTTGGCTCACTGCAAGCTCCGCCTCCTGCCACGCTTTTATCTTTTAACGTAAAAACTTGCACATGAAAACAGTCCAGTTTTGCCAGTTGGCTGTAAAAGTTGTTTTGTGACATTTTGTGTATTACATATTCTGGTTCCTATTAGGAAATCTGATCAAACCACTTCTTTTTTAGTGGTGCTGTTTGGATACTGGTGGGAAGCTGAGGGGAGGAGGATATCCTGGGAGCCTGGAGCTGCAGCAGGGCTGGGGCCTTTGGCAGGGTTGGGGAGCACCGCAGTGTGAGGCCCTGGGATGATCAGGAAGTTTGGGGCCTGCAGCCCACCCGGACAGAAAGTGAGGAAGCAAACAACTGTCAGAGTTTTGGATAAGCGTAGACTCCATTCTGGATAGTAGTCCTGGGCGTCTGTGTTCTTCCCACCTCTGGGGATGGAATCTTGGGTCTCATAGCCCCTCACACTTGTTTACTTTTTGTCCTGCAGGGCTCTGCCTGTCATGTATGCGGTAGCACTTGACCTTCGAGTGTTTGCTAATAATGTAAGTTTAATTTGCTGTCATTATTGTTTTAAAATTAACACTTGGTTTTAAATTAACACTTGTTTTAAAATTTTATAAATTGTTTAAATTTTTATAAAATTTTATAAAATTGTTTAAAATTTTATAAAATGTTTAACAATAAAACACTTGTTTTAAAATTAACACTTGGTTTTAAATTAACACTTGTTTTAAAATTTTATAAATTGTTTAAATTTTTATAAAATTTTATAAAATTGTTTAAAATTTTATAAAATGTTTAACAATAAAACACTTGTTTTAAAATTAACACTTGGTAAAATAAACACTGTTGTTTAATTTCATGTCATTCTTTCCAAAAGTTTTGAGGAGTGAATTGAAGTTGAGATGTGTCTGGTATAGGAAGCAAAAGAACAGATATTGACTATTCTTTCTAGGTTAACAGAAACAGATTTAAGTAAACATTTGCTCAGATTTCCACACTGTTCATACAGAGGGAGAGGTTTCATTTTGTTGTTAACCATTTATGGTATGTATTATTTTTATGAAGTCAGTGGAACAACAACAAATGAGCTATTCTGCATCTCTTCCACCTTTAAGATGTGGCCTGCTCCCCCGTTGAAAAGAATTCAGCTTCATATAGATTTGGGCAGTAGGAGGGGGCTTCCCTGGGGTGAGGGGAGATCCTGGGTTTTATGGAGGTGACTTCCCCTTGGGGACCCACAGAAGCCCCCATTATGGAGCAACATTTGTCTACCTTTTGGTTTTAGGACGACCCCTTTACGGTTTTAGAAATGATTGATGACTTCAGTTCTAGGCAGCATGCAATGGATTTCTCCCTATTGCGCCTGCTAAAAACAGTTAAAACCCTGGGAGTTGTCAGGCTGGCATGGCTATGGGAGGTGGAGAGAAGAGGGGGATGGGGCTCAGAGTTGGATGTAGGGAGTCTCCGGGTTTCCCTTTTGTCTCCTGGGACTGTCCTGGACTGGGTGCCTTAGAAACCTGAAGCCTTTCACTGTCAGGCAGAGACAAAATCCCCAAGGAAACCAGGAGCCTGGGTAGACAGTCCAGCAAGACAGAACTCTGACCATCACTGCCTCACTCCAGTGCCAGGCACAAAAAGTCCGCAGGTCCCTCCCGCTCCATCTTCAAAGTGGTGTGGGCTGGGGGTGGCCCAGGACCTCCACCCTGGGCTAGCAGTAATGAGGAGCTAGGTGGATGTCAGAGGCTCAGCAGGGGACCTGGACCTCCCCCATTCAGTGGCAAAGGGGATGCGCCTGTTTCTCTGCTCACATCGTGAGGCCTGCTAAAAGAAGATAAATAAGATCCACAGTCTTGTCACGTAGTGCCCCAAATGTCCAGGATTTAATCGACACCGATTACCAGGAAAATGTCAACTTCCTGAGATTTTGAATGAGAAAAGACGTTCAGCAGAAGACACCAATGCTGAGATTGCACAGATGTTGGAATTATCTGATAAGCATTTTAAACAGCCCTCTTGATTCAGCAAGCAATTTAGAACGTGCTTGAAACAAATGAAAACATTTAAAGTCTCAGCAAGGAAATAGGCAATATAAAGAAGAATGGGGGAGGAGGGAGGGGGGTTCCAAGATGGCCGAATAGAAACAGTTCCAGGCTACAGCTCCCAGTGTGAGCGACGCCGAAGATGGGTGATTTCTGCATTTCCAACTGAGGTACCAGGTTCATCTCACTGGGGTGTGTCAGACAGTGGGTGCAGGACAATGGGTGCAGCCCATCAAGCGAGAGCTGAAGCAGGGCGAGGCATCGCCTCACCCGGGAAGCGCAAGGGGTAAGGGAATTCCCTTTCCTAGCTAAGGGAAACCATGACACACAGCACCTGGAAAGTCAGGTCACTCCCACCCTGATACTGCGCTTTTCCAAGGGTCTTAGCAAGCGGCACCAGGACATTATATCCTGTGCCTGGCTCAGAGGGTCCCACGCCCATGGAGCCTCCCTCATTGCTAGCACAGCAGTCTGAGATCTAACTGCAAGGTGGCAGTGAGGCTTGGGAGCGCCCGCCATTGCTGAGGCTTGAGTGGGTAAACAAAGTGGCCGGGAAGCTCGAACTGGGTGGAGCCCACTGCAGCTCAAGGAGGCCTGCCTACCTCTGTAGACTCCAACTCTGGGGACAGGGCATAGCCAAACAAAAGGCAGCAAAAACCTCTGCAGATTTAAATGTCCCTGACTGACAGCTTTGAAGAGAGTAGTGATTCTTCAAGCACAGAGTTTGAGATCTGAGAACAGACAGACTGCCTCAAGTGGGTCCCTGACCCCCAAGTAACCTAACTGGGAGGCATCCCCCAGTAGGGGCAGACTGAAACCTCACACGGCCGGGTACCCCTCTGAGACGAAGCTTCCAGAGGAACAATCAGGCAGCAACATTTGCTCTTCAGCAGTATTCACTCTTCTGCAGCCTCCGCTGCTGATACCCAGGCAAACAGGTCTGGAGTAGACCTCCAGCAAACTCCAACAGACCTGCAGCTGAGGGTCCTGACTGTTAGAAGGAAAACTAACAAACAGAAAGGACATCCACAGTGAAACCCCATCTGTACATCACCATCATCAAAGACCAAAGGTAGATGAAACCACAAAGATGGGGAAAAAATAGAGCAGAAAAGCTGAAAATTCTAAAAATCAGAGTGCCTCTCCCCCTCCAAAGGAATGCAGCTCCTCGCCAGCAGCGGAACAAAGGTGGACAGAGAATGACTGACGAGCTGAGAGAAAAAGGCTTCAGA